ACTGGAAGATCAATTTCCTCCTGAAGAAAGTGTCTGGTGCCATTTGGTGGGAGAGAGGGTAACTGATCGCGAACCAGCTGATTTGCAACAGCCGCGGTGGGTAGCAAGCATGCGCAGCCTCACTCCGAGCGTTTTAGATTTTAGACCTGCCCAGGCGGTCAGAAAGCTTGGAGCGAACTGTCCCAAACGGCAACAATGACCACAGCCTCCACAGCCATCACCAAGGTTTCCTGCGGTGCCCTTTACAACTGCTGCGGGTGCCTTCCAAACAGAGGCACGCCCCGCCTCACCAAGCCCTGCGGTCACCTGCGCGGCTCCAGGCTCTAAAGGCTCGAATGGTTCCTTTCCCGGGCGACCTGTGCATTGACCCAAAGCCCAAACCAAAATTGGCTTGATCTGGATATGTTGTTTTTGAGGGTACCCTTTTTAGGTTGCATTACAGGGAAGCCAAAAGAAAAGCCAGCACTTTTAGAGGTCAAAACAGCCCAAAAGAGCTGCTCGAGCTGGAACTGCCTTTGTCCTTGTGGGTTGAAGATCGCAAGGCGCAACACGAGGGACAACAGACATGAACCCCGCTTGCATGTAAACGAGGCTTCTCTTTGGCGCCTTCCGGCCCAGTGCTCGAGTCACTTGGTGAAAGCCTCACGGGAGAAAGCGACTTGGTGCACACGCTTGCCCCACACGGGACTGTCTTCCTTCTACAGAACGGTGGGAGGGTCATTTGGTTGATGGAAAGCTTATCTTTGCACGATCTATCCTCTAGCTCACCCTTGGGCTACGAACTGCAAGGACTTGACCCTTTCAAGCAACTTCACCCTCTCTGAACTTGGCTCTGTGATGCAAGCCACCCTCCCCAACTTGCTGCAAAGGCTCTCCAGCACTTCAGCACTTCTATCGCTCCTGGAGCGATAAAAAAAAGCTTGTCGAGTTGTCTCTCTTGTCTGGGCTGTCCTCCTCATCTCCTCCCCTGGCAGCCGGGCAACGAAACACCCAGTGTTTGTTGCCGCGACACCTGCGACGCCTGCTGTCCGCGCCTCGCAGCAAGTCCTTCCTCCGACTCAGGAGCCTTTCGACTTGGGCCTTGGCCACATTGCCACGTGACTGAGGCCTGGGTTGGCCGATAAGCCTAGCACACTCAGCTGCGCGACATCCTCAATGATTGATCCAAGCCTTGGAACGTGTCATTCTATGCCGGACGAAACGGCGATGGCGGGCGGTGAGGTCGCCACAAAGATCCATCACTCCGTCCGCTTCCGGTCTTCGGTCCGTGCAAATCTCCCATGCCTTAGGCAGGCCGCATGGTCCATGCCCCCTTTGCCGACCCTGCTGCCGATGACAGCTCCCCTGATCCCGGACCCGGACACTACGTCCAGCCAAAAAAGGGAGCCCCCTTTCCTGTGGAAATCATCGAGTGTGTCATCTTGATGGGAACTGGCAACAACCCAAACTTCTCATGACTCAACCCTTCCTTTCCTGACCTCTTTTGGGGATCTATGTTTGCCACAACGCCACTCAAACGGAACAGCATGTTTATTATCAGGCTATATGAGGCTGTTTCTGAACGGGGTCGGCTTTTCCTTTTTTTCCGCCTCTCTGGCTGTGGTGACCCGAGAGCCGGGCGGCCCTTCGAGTCCTGCGCATCTGGCATGGCCGGAGCCGTCCCCCAGCTCGGCCTGGATCCTGATTGCGCGCGTTTGCTTCACGGCGGTGCCTGCAACCCAGCCCAACAAACGCGAAGGGCTTCCGGGCCGACCCCGCCTGGCCGATGTCCCGGGAAGGTCGAAGCCGAGCCCCGGGAGCTCGGCAGTGGGCTGCCGGCGGAAGACCTGGGCGGCTGGGTGGGGGCGACAGTCGGATGCCTGAACCAACACCCTGCAGGTTCCACGCACCCGGGCCTCCCCAAAGCAAACACTGTAATCAACAATCAGAACGCACTCCTCAAAACTCATTGCCCTGGTTCCAAGGGGGCCGAATCTCATGCGCCGCTCTCAGGCCACTGCCTTCGGCCCGAGACCGAGCGACGGGGCCTCGGTGCGAACGGCTTCGGAACCCGACCAATAGTCTTGCTAACTTTCTGAGAGAAAGGCATTTGCCCAAACATGTTTATCACAAATAGTTTTGAGCTAACATCCCAGGATACTTCCGCTGGCCCGCGCTGCTTCCGCTACCGCTGCTTCCACCAGAATGCGCTCTTCAAGTAGCCGACATGCCAGACTTTGTCTGAGCCTCACGGCACACAAACTTGCACGTTCTACTCTAGCTGGACAAAGATTGACGAAGTGCAACAGCACCAAAAGGCCGGCACGCTGTGTGGGAAAGTCCAGGCTGCCGAACTGCGGCCTGGAGCAGTAGGTCCAAAGTGGCGTCAGAACCTCTGCTGTAGGTGCATTGCTGCTGGAGCCAGCGTTGCTGCTGATGTTGGCTGCCGCTGTTGGGTTGTGGCAGTGGCAATCTCAGTGGTTGTGGTGATGGTGGGGGCTGGGTGGTTTTCGCACGGGTGGCAGTGGTCATTTTGGACTTGTGTGGTATTGTTTAGTGGTTGGACTGTGGCTTGTCTTCTTCTTGCTGCTGCTGCTGCTGCTGCTGCTGCTGCTGCTGCTGCTGCTGCTGCTGCTGCTGCTGCTGCTGCTGCTGCTGCTGCTGCTGCTGCTGCTGCTGCTGATGTCATTGCGTGACGACCGATTGACAACCGAGGAAGTGTCCAACCCGTCACATTCCCAGTTTTACGGAAGTGGGAAGTGAGTTCGACAAGGTGAAGTACTTCAAGGATGGACAGATTCTGGGGCCGTCCAACGATTATCCAATCCGCAGCTCCGCCCACTTCGGTCGGCCTTCGCTGTGTTTGGATCGCCCCTGCGGCATTGACCTGGACCTGGGCACGGGTGGTGAGATGAAAGCCTTTCGCAAAGCCGAGGTGAACATGTGAACTTCTGTGCCAGTAAGAATTCAATAAGACATGTGCTTTCCTGTCCACAAATAGTTGGTTCCCCTTGGACACCTCTAAGGAAACGGCCTCATACCTCGAATATCCTGAAATGAGAGCAAGCCATCCTACCGCCTTTCCCAAAGAAAACACACATTATATCTTATGGGTGTCTTTTTGATGGTCGGCACATCGGCAACACTTCGTTTCCGGCACACCTAGTCCATGACAAATAACCCCATGAACCTACTTGACCTTTGCAGGTTTCTTCCTCACACACTCATCTGCACCATCCGATTTCCAGCATCCATTGCACCACTCTTGAGCTTCCAGCTCGCACGGGCCACTTGGAACCAACGTCGCACTTCCATCTTGTTTAACCGTTTCACCGTTCCCTTCCCCTGAGCAGCTTGCCGCCTCGCCGAGGACGCCTGCCAGAAACCCAGAACATCGAGATCTCATCCATTGCCGGCGCCTGAACGGGCGGTGACTGTCCAAGCCCTGCACCTCAGATGGCAAATGTGCTAACCTCAACCCAAAGCTCCAAACAAGTGAACTTGCGTGAACTTGAGCGCTGCAAGACCTCCGGCTATCCTCCTTTCAGCTTGACATGCGCTTGACAGTCGCTGGCATTTGAGAGCCCAACCGGCATATTTTGAAGGACCATCCGGGGAGGCAGACTGCCTGGCCCAAACTCCAACGGTTGTGCACCATTTAGAATACAAAATGTCTCTTCATGAGCCAGGTCTTGTCACCAGCCAGTGGGAGATGCGCCGATTTTGCCGCTTTGTGTTGGATATGTTTTTGTTTGTGCTGGGTAGTTCGGGGTCGAAACCCTCAGATTCCCACCTACCGCCGTGGTACGTCGGCCTCGGACGCCCAACTCGACTCGACCCGCAGGCGCTGGGCAGCGTATCTCAGGGGAGGGCGCGGACGGGGAGCGCCGCCTGAGTCGTTCAACGGCCTACGCAACCAGTGTAGCCCTCCTCTTCACCAACCCTCTCAGGTCTCTAATGGTCTCTTCCCTCTGACCCTGAATCACTGGGACAGCCTTGGGCCCACGCATGCCTGGCGAAGCGCGGGCATCAGGTCGGGCCTCAGCTCCAGATATCTTGCCACGGTTCAACGCACTCCTCCAACCATGGCCCTCCCACCCCGGTCCAAGCCCATCCCACAGAACATGCTGCAGTCTGGACATTTGTGTCAGATGGCTATTTCCATCTCTGCGCTGTGGAGCGGCGTGGCTGCGACTCGCAGCAACGAACCCAGCTACTCTGTTCGCATGTGTTGAGGGCAAGCGCCCTCGCCGCGAAAGTGGTGCGTGATCACCCCCTGGATTCGTCTGCGGCAATGCCCGCAGTAGGAGTTCCTGCACATGCCGCAGCGGATGTGGTTCAAGCCACCAGCCCGGCCGTTGAACTGCCCGCAGACCGGGCACTGCACCTCACCCTGCCGCAAGCGCTGCGCCACATTCCGGCGGCCTGCCGGCGGCAAAGCGCCGCCGCGGTGTTGCCGGTCTGCCTGGAACTGGGCGAACAAGTTCCTCGCTTGTCCAAAGGTCTTGGAGCCATGCCAAAAACATGTATCCCCCCCGAAGGAAAGCCAAGAATTGAATATCCACCCAGCATTTGCGAAGCTCCCTTCCTCCCTCCCTCTTACTCCCTCCCCTTCCCGCGGCCCTCCAAAAACACTGCAAACGATAACATGGTTCCCCAAACGCCAAGGCACCCCTGGTCCCCGAACTCCGCCCGGAGCCGCTCCAGCTCGTCATCCACGAAGCCGACGGCCTGGCGCTGGCGCATCGCCATGCGCTGCACCTCCTCGGTGTCGAAGGTGGTGCAGCCCCCCGCCCGGAAGTGCCTCAGCCCGAAATCGGATCGAGCTGGCAGCCCGGACCTCTTCATATTGGGGTTGGAGCCTAGTTTAGGGAAAGCTCAACCCAGAGAACGATGCCCATGACCCACGTTTGGGAGTTTCGAGTTTGACCCTGGAGCAAAATCTTGGAATATCTTGGACATTGTGGAACAGTGGATGGGTGGCTCCAATATTCAAGGCATCCACCTTGACAGGTGAGCTT